GGGGGGTTGGAAAAATAGGGTGAGGGGGTTGAAAAAATAGGGAGCCCACAGTGGGGTTCGGAGGGCCCATGGCACCATCCCTAAAGGTCGGTGGTGTTTGTAGGACCTGCAAAAGACATCTTTGGGTTTGTGCCATGTACTCTGAAACCGTGATATGGATATGGGTCTTGAGGGATAGCGTCCCTATGCGTCCACGGTCAATGTGTACAAAGTCCCTTGACTCTCATATTCACTTATCATGAAGCCTTTCCATGCCCCATATCAAAAATGCCAAGGACCTTGCAACATTTTGGCCACACGTGATTTCTAGTCACTAAACCATCCCAAAGTCACAAAACATCCAGTTCCTCTCCCTGGCGACACCACCACTCGACCCCATTTCACCGACTTCCCACTTCCTCTTCCCACTGACCGGGCATCACAAACCGGGCGTCCCTGCAGGGTTCGCACACCATCCCAGGCTCTGGAGGGTCTGGACAGCTCCCAGGGTTGCACCTGGGTGGGCATCGCTTCATGCCAGCGATTCCACCCCATCGAGGGGCTGAGAGGTGACACGGTGGGGAGGCTCTGAGACGTGACACGACGACGGTGACTCTATGACATGACATACTGATGACGAACCCTGGGGCAAGATGTCCTACCTGAATCTGCAATAGAACCTTTTGGACCAAACCATATGCCTGTGATGAAAGTTGGAATCAGGCCTGTTGTCTTCCGAACCGACTCTGAAATAGCTGACAAGGTCGCTGTGTTTCCTAGGATTCCATGGGGAATCAGTGTGGGACATTGGGGACGACTCAATCGGTTCTACAGCATCTCATCAGCGCTGGCCGCCAATGGCCAACTTTTGGAAAAGACAATCAATGTATTATTGAGCATAACAAAGGCAGTAGTATGAGTATGAGACTTGCTTTGCCGACCTAGCCATCCTAGCAAAACCGTGGCAAACTGGAAAAGACACAACGAATCACTACCAAATCTCCATCCTCTCCAGTTTGGTGGAGCCAAAAGCCAACAGTGCGTGCGCTCGCGAAGCTCAGGGTCCCAGCCCGGGTGCGGGCATCTTCACCGTCTGGCAAGGCGTTGCAAAAAGACACTACGAACTGTCGGTGGCCTTTTTAAAAGGTGAGCTTGTGTGGTGCATTATATCCTTATATCCTTACAATCTATGATGAATCTGTGTGACCTAGATGATTCTATATTATAGACGCGGCGAGAGCCATTAGATCCAGATCAGATCCCTCCCAAGGCCTTCCTCACCTGGTCATGCCCCATGTGGCCCATGGACCCTGCCCATGCCTTCGTCCCAGCACCAGCAGCGCCGGCGGCACCGCCCGCTGCACCAACAGCACCGGCGCCGGCAGCTGAAGCGCCTGGAGCCATGCTGAGTTCTGTCTAGGTCAGGTTCACTGCCAAGGCTGCTTGTAGTGTTTTACAATTGGGGACTCCCAAAATGCAAGGTCAAAAGACACTTGCTGTATTGAGTTTGGCCTCCAAAGGTGCCATTTGCCAGCCCCTGAATGCCATAGTTGCCCTGGTTCACCATGCCCGGCTGGCTGTAGCTTTCATCCATGCCATAGCCATAGCCTCGTTATTTGACAAAAGCTCTCCGAAATGGTGGCGATCCAGATCCCAATCTTTGATGAGTCCAACAAAGCAGCCTTTTTGTGCAACTGATTGGACATGCATAATGCATCAACATCAATCAACTACACAGCTCAACAACCAAAGGACCCATAAACGACACTCACTTTTCCAAGTCGCCCTGGTCAAATCCAGCCATGCCATGGCCAGCCATGTTGCCTTGGTAACCTCCGGTGCTGCATCCGCGGTCCGCAGGACTTACCATGGTGGCTGTGTGGGTAGGATATCCCTATGATCTAAAATAACTATTAAAAAAACATTTAAAACACACATAAACTGGCAGCGATATGTCACCGTGCACACGGAATGACCACATGTTTACAAGCATTTCGGCCATTGACAAATATATTGCCAAGTTCTAATAGGTAATGTTTCCAAAAAGCCTTGGCCATTTCAGCCTGGCAATCCCGGGCAATTGTCAAACTTTTGCGAGCCCAAAATCCACACCCGTTGTACCCGTTCACTGTCAATCATCTGCCTTCTTCGCTGGTTACTTTGACCTTAGTGACGAAGTGCTTACTGAAATAAAAAACTCTTGCGAGTCACTAACTGAACACCTACCCTCCATCCAACAAACATGGAAGATGGAACATGCCCCCTGGCAAGACTGTTTTCCGAATACGAACAGGCTGTATTCCACTTCTATGATTGTTTCAGGGAGGTGATCGTTTCTATATAGGTGAAACAGGGAGTCACTATCACCTATATAGAAACTATCACCTATATATAGCAGTGCTATATAGTTTTGAAGCACTGCTACCCAACCTGGGAGTCACTCCCCGAACTCGCTGCCTTGACCGGGAAGGCCGTCGCCGTCACCATCACCGTAGCCAGCGGGCACACCTCAGCCGGTGCGTTGGGATCCATTCAACGGAAGTGGAAGGGAACTTTGTATTGGCATGTTATGACATAATAATATAAATAGTGTAGTATAACAATATTGATATAATACTACGTATACATTTAACAATGTATATATAAATATATTATACATAATACATATGTAAATTATAGTTATATATATAGTTATATATACATATCGTAATCGTTGTAAACTCATAATTACTTATTTACCCCATGCGTCATCCTAAGGATCCCGTTTGATGTTTTTTGTTGTTTCCATCTTTCACATGCACCCAACCCATCACACCCATACAATTGCCCATACCTACCTCATCCATCTCCACAGCATCCACCCCATCCGCCCTCCCTTCTTCCAAGCTGCGGATAACCCGGTCGCCCGAACTCTCCGGCGCTGGCGACGCGCCCGGCTTGGCCGCCAGGAAGGACGCCGCCTGTGACCGTTCAGTCTGGCAAAGATTTTACGTCCGTCCATAGTTGAATGAGATCATTATCAGATCATGAGTTTCTATGCAGAAGAGTCAGTTGGATTATAATTCAATTGTATCGTAATAAGATGTAATAAGTAATAATAACATATAATAACACCTGTGAATCCGTGAATTTGATTCCCGTGAATCTCCGCTTTGCGAAGGAACACGCCATCTGGAATGCATCAGTTGAAACTGTGCTTGCCACGCTCGCCGGCCTGTGCCCTCCGCTTTTGTACGCCTCAGCTCCAGGGGCCGAAAGAAACTGGGCGACTCAGTGCAGTGGGTGTTTAGACGCTAGTAACAATAAGCTAGTAGAAACAAGTGCATCGCTTCTCGTAACAAGTGCCTTACTAGTCGTAACAAGAAGCGATGGACGATGGCGGGCTTCGCAGTATAAATATGCACGAAGTGGTTTGATGTGCACAAAGTTTCTGCATGCAAACACATGAGTGACTCTCTTACCCTCTCAAATCACAAGTGATGGATCGCACAAATGTCTAATGGCGAGCAAATTCACTTGGTGTAGGCGACCCCCTAATGATCCAATGAATCCAATGTTTGCGCCCTTTGAGTCGTCACCGAGCAACATGGCCAAAGGTCCTGCCACCAGGGCAGTCTGGAGGTTCAAACAACATCAAACCTCACGTCACTTAAATCATTCAAACATATTGAAACCATGTCCAACCACTTGTTGCATCTTGTTGCCACACGGCATAGATAAGGGCATGGCATGTGGCTGTAATGGAGGAGATTGGCCTCCCACCGACTCAATGCCGACTCAATGACCCTTAGGATCCCTTAGTGCCTTAGGGCCCTTTGTTGGAACCCATCCCGAAGGGACTCAAACAAAAGGACCTACAGTAGGCCCCCTACAAAAATGCGACCTAGGATGACCCATCGGTGGTGGAGGTTCCTCACTTTCCTCATGGTCCTCTTTGATTTGACTGATATAACCCCATCCAACCATCAAAAAAACAATTGCAACAAGAACACGACCTTGTTCGCACACGGATCCCTGGGCCATGCGTCTCCTTTCAAATCCCTTCGTTGTGCCAGGTCTGATCATCAAAAGACTCTTGATTATATAACTAAAACATACTATATTATTCTATATATATACATGAAGAGGCTTTGTAATCCAATGGGGTCTATTCATCAAGAATGTCTTCAACCCTCGAGCAACCCACGTCCCGCGGAGGTCTTTGATTTTTCGAACGCCCCGGTCCTCGGTCAGCTGCGAGCTCTGCGCGGCTCGGTGTGAACCCGCGCGGGTCGGTGTCGTCGCAAAGGGATCCTGGTTGGTTGGGCAAAGCTCGGTGGAATTCGCGGGAGGTCCAGGTGAACTTGAAGATTAGGGTCAGGGTGAACTTCGTGTTTACTCTTCTAACCACAGGGATGTGCGGGTTGACTTGACCTCTGTGTGATCTCACTCAAGTGCTATGTTGGGAAGAGCTTGCTGAAGGGGATGTAAGTTGCAATGAACGAGTCTGAACTAACTCTAAATCTAACCGTCTTTTGACACGTATTGTCTATAGAATTCTGGACACCAAGATCTTTGCGTCCAAAACCACCTGAAAGTAGCGGAGTAGCTACCCACCTGGATCAGCGAGATCAACTGCGTGAGGATCCCCATCTCCAGCGGTACATCTTCGCCATCCAACGCTGCATCTGAATGGTTGGTTCCAGAGTGGTTAGGATGTGAATGACCTGCTTGACATGAACCTGACAAATGCGATGATCGTCTCCTAGAAGCCAAACACCACTCGATACCCTGTTTGCTTGTGGCTTGGGTTTCTGAATCACTTCGACAAATAGATGCTCTAAGAGCAAATGTAAGTGTTTGGAGGCTGTTTGATTGCTGGCACTACTGTGCCTGGGAGTTTGATTGGTCAAACATGCGCACCTCAAACATTCAAACACTTGTTTCTATATAGAGTCGGTACTTGACATGCTTTTGGTCAGGACTCCTCACCCTCGACCATCCACAACTCCTGCTCATAGGATTCTACAGCACTCTTCCGCCCTGGGGTCGCATAGCTCTATGAGCCCCATGGCCTTCAAACGCCGGCTACAAAGAACACATGAACAATCTGCTCACGCGACATGCTCAATGCTCACAGCAATACTCTTGCCCGAACTCAACGGATGACATTGGCTTCTTGATATCAAACTGATCGCAATGATACACTTCTGCATCACCTCGCAAAACTGTTCCTCCAGGAAGAGCTGGTTTGTCAAACTAATTACGCACTTTTGCTGCATCCACTGCTGGCATCACAGGGTTTCAGCAAGCGTGCTGCTTGAAAGACGGTCGATCTCTAGGCCTGCCAGCGGCCACGATATGTCTGTACTAGACTCTTACTGGACTGGGAAGAGGGCTCAACAAGAAACATGTCGACACTACATGTTCTTCAAGTCCGAACAGTCTTAAACTAAATCATGGTTGGCAAACCGGTGAAACATTCACAACTTTCTCTGTCCAGCCACACACAGGCCCACTGCACTTGAAGATCAACAACGAACCACTTCAGGTCCACCGTTCGAACCACTTGGCTCCAGATCAGTCATGAAACCAGAATGATTCCTATGAACGTTCACCCCAGGAGTGGTATCTTGTGTGGGGAGCCTGAGGAATGACGTGCCCAGAACAAGCTGTCATTGACAGTGTTTGGCGCGAATGGCACGAATGCCACTGTGCCAGTTGTCTGTATAAAGAGTCCGCGGTGTGCACGCCAAGTCGCGGGTGACCCCAGGATGAATTTTTGATCGTTTGTTTATAATTTGCTTCATCCGTGCTTATCATCAGAACCATTTTGCTGTTTGCATTGGAAGTTGTTTTGAGATGTTGTTTGCCAACTCACGGAGAAACCACTGTCCAACAACAATGCCAAAATATGCCAAAGATTACCCTCATTGTCACTGAGTGTTTTTTTACATGTTGCTTATATATTTTCAATGGTGGCCATCTTGAAGTTGTCCAACACACCGTGGACCTAGTTTGTACATGTTTGTATGTACATGTGTTTACATGCTTGTACGTTTCTTTTGAAGTTTTGTGCGTTTGCATACAAGTCCTCATAAGTCCTCTATATATTATGCCGTGCAAGTGGTATAACCTATGCTTTATTCACTTTTTATTTCTGCATCCCAAAGCCATCCACCAAGTAACATGTGAGCAACTCAGCAGAATAAATGTGACATCAAGCTGGGCTGAAGACTGCTGTGCTGCACACCACCAAATGTCAAGTGTTCCCGCGCTCCAGAAGGGGTCGTACTAGCCAGCAGGCTGCAGAAGAGTGTACCCCTATAAAACTTTCCGACCGACAAGTGGTTGATGAGATGAATCTGTCTGATGTCCAACCAAGTGATGTCTAACCGTCACTCACCCATTCAATGACGTCCAACACCATCTCAATTCGTCAACCTGCTTATAAGTAATTATAAGTCTTTAGGCCCAACAGGTGCTTGATTGAAGGAACCCACTCTAGTACACACACGCACACCCGCTGACTGTGTTGTGGCTGGGCCCTTGGTTGAGAAACAACCCCAAGAGCGATCGCAGTGATCCCAAACCATTCCTGTCACTCTTTCCAACCAACGAGTGGTTTATCGAGGCATCATACCGTGGCCCGCTCCACTGTTGGGCCCGAGTTCCACATAGCTTCCCGATGTGTGGGTTCACTCTTGGATCCTGTCGGTCATTAAGCAAAATTACTGAAAACAGCCATCACATTGCCACATGTACCAGCGCCACTAAGCTTTGGACATACCCACTGCTTTGGGACATACCCACTGCTTTGGGACATACCCAGCAATCTGATCAAACCATGCATCCGCCAATCAGCATCGGTTCCCAGGTTCACAGCAGGCGGCCTGAACCCACCGGAGCCCGCTCGAGTTCGCCATGTCTGGCAGCCGGATGGTGTTCCATGCGATGGAGTCCGCGCATTCATGCCTCGATGGCACGAACTCGGAGGATACTGTAGACCCTTGGCCCTGGTGGCCAGCGGCAATGCGAACAGGATAGATCTGTGTACGGATTGGTAAGTTAATTTCAGCTTCCCAACATTTCCCAACCCTTCTGGCACTGTTCAGGTTTTTTTAGCACAGGTGAGCCTCCTAGTATGATGAAATAGGGTAAATATTTATGAGACATGTTGAGGCATATAATCTTATTGACATTTTATTAATAAGTATATATAAGATTATATAAGTATTGAATAGTATTGAACTGTATTGAACTCCCGCTTTGGTCTTGTCTTGCCATCTGTCCAACACAAATCAAAGGATGCGTGACAAAGTTATTTAATGTTGTTTACAATACCAACTTTTTACATGTCCAACTTATCTATCCTCATAATGCCTGGGCTAGTATTGCATGTTTGGCTTTCAATGTCACACCCGCTCTCAAACCACCAGGTACTGCGCAGCCAGCTGTTCTCTTGGGTAGGAGCATGATGCTGTCTTATCACTCTCCACGTGATAGCAATTGCATAAGAGCATTTGCAAAGCAAACGAATTGCCGATATGATACGGAAAAGGGCACAAAAAGCTAGATTCCGCAATCTATATGTCTGTATTGAATGAATACTCATATGATATCACATGCTATATTCACGAGATTTCATGAGTCTTAAGTATCTATATAGCCTGAGATTTCCCCTCTAGCTGTAAGATCGGCCAAGTCCGGTCCAAGGCGCCACAACTGCTCGTCGGTGAAGGTGTGCGGATGTCTTTAAGACCAAAATAAAGCTCATCACAGGGACCATTTGCTCCAAGCTTGAAGGAGTCCTGGACGTCGAGAAAGCGGAGTGTGAGGTTGCAAAATGAAACAACATGAAACAACCAGCAGCCACGCTGAAGCTGGACTCAGTGACACTGAATTTTTTTATAAAAACTACTGTGCATGAGAGGATGCCCCCGAGTGTTGTGTGTGTGTGAGAGATTGTGTGAGTATATCATTAATGCATGAAACATGACCTTTTAGCTTCCTGGTCAGAGTGAAAAAAACATCATCCACTGTCATCCACCCTACAATTTTGTGGAGTGCGAATGAGCCCTTGGGCAGCTGCAAGTATGAAAGACGCATAGCTCAAAGATCCCAATTTGCTCCTGGACCACCATGATCCACCATGGCAAAGGCCAGTTCCAGTGCTAAAACTCCAACCTCTCCATTGGCTCCAGTCTCGGTCATCAGGTTCTCGAAAAACCTCACTGCGTGGTATAGATCCTTTGCCCATAAACATCGCTCTGGTAGAGTCCCATGGATGGGACTCGGTGCGCATCTTCGATCTCCATGGTGAGATATCCTGCCGACCGGTTCACCGAGCGACACATGACATCTCCTTCGATCCGTCGCCGGAAGAGGGACGGTCTCCCGGAAAAGGTGTCCAAGGAAGAACAGCGAAACTTCACATCCTTGAGGCGGCAGGAAGATTGAACATCTACGGATGTCTATGCTACTGTGGAGGTATTTCGTTTGGAGATGCACATCAAATATCAGGTTTGAAGGAACGATGGTGCACAAATATGGTCATGAACATTGAAAACACAACACACTCCAGGAAAGCGGTGAAAAGGGTCCACATTGTCTCCCATGCTTCAACGGCCGGAAGTGCAAGGAAGTGCAATCCTTAAGCACTTAGGAAAGAACCTATAGTACCTTCAAGATCCTACTTAAGCTATGGACCATTGACTCAACAAAATAACAACACATATGCAAATCAAGCCTTTACCGGCACCACGCAAAGGGGGTCGATGATCTCTCTCCTGACTAAATGCTTACCATCCAATAACCATCATCTCGTCCATTCTCATCTCTCTCCTCGACTCCCACGATTGGCCACCAGTCCTGCAGCAGGGCTCAAGAGCAGCATGGCCTCCCCATCAGCTTTGCTCATGACCCAAGTCCTGGGAACTACGAGCAGGACGTCCACAGTCAGCGGGCACTGGATGGCACGGGTGCCGCACCAGGAAGAAAAGGACAACAAGTATGAGGTGACACCGAACATCTTGTTCACTGATCTTTCTTTGAGTCACAGCCGCACACTGTTTGGGCTAAAACCTTAGCACAAAATCAAACACGCTTGGCACAAACACCCACATCCTCGACATCATGTGCTCGAGCACGATTTCTTGGCACTTGAAACATGTGCATGTGCTTCAAACATCGCTTCCGTGAGCAGCTCTGGCACCTGAAAGCCTTGCAAACCAAGCTTCGGAATGGTGATGCTACCGCCATCTGTCGTCATGTCTGGCAGGAAGCTCGAGGACACCTGGGTCGTCGGGTGGTGCCCAATTGGCCAGCACGGCCGGCTCTGGGTGGCAAGACATTTGCGGTTCTGCGGTGGTGAAAGCGTTGATCTCTGCTTCTTTTGCAGCAAACTTGAAGCTTGGAAACAGTGGATCATATCTTCCAAGACACAACATGGGCATACATCATATGTACGACGACTATCATATCATGAATCATGACTATGATCACCTGGGCAATGTGATCATCAATGATCATCATACATCTTATTACTAGTAACAAGAAGCTATTAGGAACAAGTGTAACAAGTGCATCGCTTCTAGTAACAAGTGCCTTACTAATAGTAACAATGTTCGCGAACATTGTTACTACTAGTAAGGCACTTGTTACTAGAAGCGATGCACTTGTTTCTATTCTTGCATCATGGGTCGAAAACGCCCAAAGATCTGTGCGGTCGAAGAGCAGTGCGATGGTCCAAAATCAGCAAAAAGTCATATCCTGCCCGAGGGGCCCAAGGGGCTTGGATCCATCGGAATCTGACGGTCACCAAACAAAACTGGACAACAACGATCAATGGAGAATCAGTCAGTAATCCACTCCAGAATAATCCTCGGTTGGTTATCTCAACCCATCTGAAAAAGTATTCGACATTGAGGTTGATGGTTTTATATCCCAAAGTACAGCTCAATCGGTCCATTCCGGCCTGCTTCCAGTGCCCTCTCGGCTTTCTGAGCAAAACTGCACCTGGCCGCGGCTGGCGGGGTAGGCCGCAGGAGGTCGCTTGGACGCTTCTTCAAGGAAGCTCCCCCGGGCGGCGGGAAGCTTTTTTGAAGCGCTCGCACTAATGATTTGGTTCCTAGAATTTTAGGGAAACTTAACTTACTAGTAGCTTCTTGCTAGTCCTTTCTCCAAACACAGCAATCACTAAAAGGTACCGAAAGAGATATGAACAAAAATAGATGGTCGTTGCCCCCTGGACTCATTTCCAGAACTGCGGACTTCCACAGAAAGGCAGGGCCTATCCTTGCCTAACAGAATCTCTTGAAGAAACACCACGCGCTGGGAACCTCCCTCATGTTGTCGTATGTGACGCTCTGTGTTGAAATGTGTTGAACTTCGGACATTTGCAAAAACATGTGCTGACCACCGAAAAGGCGGACCACTTCTTGACGTGTCCGGTCGCACGGGACGAGGCACTTGCCACGCCGAAGGAGAAGGGCGAAGGGCCCTCCATGGCGTGGGGCAGCCAGCAATGCGCCAAAGCCTCAGTACGCAAATATTCCATCATGAATCTCTTCTTCTTGACTAGAGTCACTAGATGAAAGTTGAAGTATACTATTTATAAATGACCTATACTAGATGATCCATGTGGTCTTGCTTTGAAGAAGACCACCAATCGGAATGATGCGGGCGTGCATCCTGTGAAAAGTCAACAAACAGATTTCCCTCTCTACGTGCAGAATGTTCGTTCTATTTGTGTAGTCTTTTCCCGTTTGTTTGGACAAGGGATCAAAGGATATCAAAGGGATAAATATGAGGAAATACTGATGTGCAAGCTACACCGCATCATGCGGGCCTTCATTCACCAAACATCGGAGAACAATGAAGGTAGTCCCCGTTCATTCGGCTCGGCCGGCTCCATTGCGAGTGAGGGTGACAGCCCAGCCGTCTAGTCGGAGCGCTCTGCTATACAAAGCAAAAGAAACATGGAGGTCAGGATAGTACGGGACCATAGGATAGTCCTCTGATCTTTTTTCGAGACGTCACCACCAAGGTTGCTGGTGAGTATTTGCAAAGGTAACTTCATTGGACGAATCACTTCTTTGCCCAGCAACATCCATTGGACGAATGAGAAGCCTCAGAGATCAGCTTCACATTCCTTGGGAGCCACATCAGCCAGTGATCCTTGTGAAATGAGCTGCATATGATTCTTTACCTTACGATCTGTCTTGACTGTAACCCTGTGGCCTGTGTTCCACAGCTGGACCTTGAGGGCAGGCATGTGTACAACGAACTCCAAGCGCATGAGGAACGCTCCAAACATGCATCGATGCAACTCCGGGAGCCGAAGAAGAAGGGCATATCATGTCTGTGCCATCGTGTGCTCAATGATTGAAACATGTTGCAACTCGAGCCTGTCTGATAATGCATGATTCATATTCCATCATATTCAACCTTCAGTCATACAAAACCATCCGTTGCCATGGTGAGGATGGTCTGTGATGACGCTTCGCTGCAGCCAGGATTCTGATAGAGTGGCGTCATCCTCCAAGACTCTGCATCAGCCTCACAACGTCTTTTTGGCCCTGTGGCTGGAGAGCAAATGGGTAGCACCGTGTTCCAAGCAGCGGGCTTCACCACGTACCTTGGGTGTGGTCAAACCAGCTCAACTTCGTCAGCGGTTCATTTGCTTATGGTCAACTACGATAGGTGGCGCAGTTCGACACGAGCTGATGTTTGGCGGTTTGAAGCAAGACTTGAGCGCTACACCTACTGATGCCAGTTTCTATCCTCCCTGCAAGCATGCAGTTTCACACAAATGAAGCTCCAAAGATTCTGGTCCAACCTTCCTCCCAAAGATCCTCAGATGAACCATCAACTACAGTCTGATTAACAAGCCACTGGGTCCCTGGGCTGCTCGTCACGCTCAACCGCGAGGCGATCAGCACTGCCAGAGTACGAACGTCCAACTTGGTTGCATCGATCTTGCCTTGGAAGCCGTGGTGATCCAATGAGTGTCCCATGGATCAAAAGAGAGTCTTCACGTGTCACATGTCTCTACTTGGTCCCCTGTTTATTAGCCATGTATAGAGATTCAACAGTCCAGTGAAACATGTATAACATGCATATATAAGTTCGGACATAAACCCAGGAGCTGAGCCTGGTGGAACCCCATTAATAAAGCTGCGCGAACTGGTTGGAATGTACTATATAAATCAAAGGCACTTGTGTCAGAGGCCAGGGCAGGTGTACCATCCAGAAAATTTCCCGCAGTGTCCTGCAAATGAATGATCCGGGTATCATGCCGACCAGTTCTCTATCCCGCCTGAACATTCAGAAATCTCAAGAACACAAACAGTTTCATGTTCATCTCTGAATGTACTCTTCAGTCTTGTGGGACCAAATGACCAGGCCTCAAACGTTTGTCCTCTAGGGCTGTCCTTCACGAGACCTCTACAGTAGGGTTCGTTTGGCCAGCCCCAGTCCTCGGCAAAACAATAAACATCGTAGTCTGTGTCCTCCGTCAGCCCGGTCAAGGTGATGGACGCCTCGGCGTCCAACCGGCTGCGGTTGCTCGTCCAAGGAACATATATAAATTTCATACAGACTAACTTCATGCAGTAATTTGATGGCACAAAGATGTTTCATTAAATAACAAGGTGTCATATACAGATCATATACATGTCACATTGACATTGCTTCTAGCTTTTGCATGACCTGTCTCATATACGACTTGCAGCCTTAGCAGAATGGTGAGAGCAAAAAGTGCTCAATCTTGGTCAAAGCTTGTCTACCCTTGGAGTAGAAGTATATACTTGGATGTCATTGGACCTGGCAAACTTGGACCCACTATGTCGAAGGGGATTCTGCTATTTAGATCCATCAAACACAAACTACCTCAAGCAAAGCCCAGTATTGTGCAGTATGCTTAGTGCCTCTCCAGCCAAAAGACAAATACATATGTTCATAAGCACAGTATGTCTAACTGGACTTGCAGGATCTTCCAGGTCTCCTTTCTCATGTTTCTGCCGTGCAGTGGTCTGTTTCCACCTATCGCACATGATGGCGCAGTGGCTGATGGCTTGTTGTTTGTCTGTGGCCTATCAAAGCAGAGTGCAAGACATGATTCAAACACGCAAGGCCTGTTTAAGGCCTTCAAGATTCAAGATGTGTTTGTCTATTCTCATCACAGTTGTCACGCTGGTCCAGGACAGCCTGGGGGAATCTAGAGAACAAATTGGATTGACCGTCGAAGGCTCACAAAGTGATAGTTTCCTCTTGCTCGGTGTATGTTCATTCAGTCTATTCAACTCTGGCAGCTACTTCCGCTGTCAAGAATCCTGGTGCTTACAGCCACCAACAGGCTGGCACTCCAAACACCATCGAACGGACGTTTCACGGAAGGTCGTGGTTGTCAATGCTCCTTCAGGCTCCTTCCCCTCCCTCCCAGCCCGCCCAGTCGGGCCTGATAACTCAGTGCCGCAGACACCGTCTGCGTGCCCCAAGCGTCCACGTTTTGGTCCAACAAGAAGTCTGAGGCCAAAGGTCTGGTGGTGCCAGAGCCTGCCACGGCTGAACAAATCAAGACCGCCGAGGACTATCCAGGACTTAATCCGATCAAGTTCACACCAAGTAGCATCCCACCAATCACGCCATGTGCAAAGGAAATCTGAAGCACAACATGCTGCAAGACTTCCAGAGTGATAAAAAACAAGCCCGTTGTGCGCCTGTATCAACCTTGGCCACGCACCAAACAGTCCCATCCTCGCTCAGCTGAAAGTAAAGGGTCATTGCAATGCTTTCAACTTGGTAGTTCGGCGAGATGTAGCCTCAAGTCTGAGACACAGAGCGACAAAGACCTGAAAGTTGCACTGGTAGTCTTGCTGCGACATTTCTTCTGAACGTGGAAGAAGAACAGTTGCACGGTTGTTGGATTCTGAATTCTTTTTCACTCCATTGTTTGGATTCAGGGTTCTTCGGCCTATTGTAGAACAGTACATCCTAATCCTACTATCCAAAAATCATACGCCAAGCAGCTGAAGGTGGGCGCCGTGTAATCGCCGCCCGAGGCCGTGGCCAAGCTGGTCTTGGTGCCAGCCACCTGCGGCCCGGTCAAGTCGTATCAGTTCAAGGGAAACCACCCAAGACAACTGAGAAAACAATGGACAATAGGATGCTTTTACAGGTTTGTACAGAAAGATCCGTCTGTGGGATAAACCGATAAACTTTATTTGGGTGGAACAAGACACTCTTGAAGTAGATTTTCCGGTAGAATCGACTCTGTGGCAATGACATTTACGGCCCTGTATCTATGGTGTTGATACTCTTGGAATCTACATGTCTATGTCATCCCCTTCCCATTGTTCCTAGTAGCTTCTTGTTACGAGTAGTAAGGCCAGGAGCTACTAGTAGCGTCCTTGCTCCTAGTAGCGATGCCCTTTGCTACGCTTCTTGGGGGTCATCCCCTTCCCAAGACCGTCGGATGAGCTTTCAGAGTTTGGGTTCTCTGCATTTTGCGGAAAAAGGTCACTGTAAGCGACTTCTCTCAGGAAATCCCTGACAAGCTTGGAAAACCATCACATAAAAATATATGTTATAGCACTAAATTGTGGTTTGGCTATTTAAGGCAGCCGCAGGGACCCTAGCGTGAAGAAAACATTTTTAAAACGGTTTCTGAGAGGTTGAGCCGTAGAGGCAAACAAGGTCCATTCACATCGCAAACCGCAAACCAAGTCCATTGCAGGACACTGTCCCTTAGCTTTCGAACTCCTGTACGTTCGAGTTGGTCCTGGGTCCTCACCGACAGGTCTTCGTTGTTTGGAACACCCGGGGCGCATGAGTGCCCAGTCATCGGTTGCCCACCTGGGCCAAGGTCAAACCATTCACAAACAAATCCTCCGCATAGCCTTGGGTCGTGGCAGTGCAGGACACCCTCCATGGCGGGACTGGGATGGGGTGAAGCTCAATAAGCTCAGGATGAAAGAGCCCCTGGAAGTGTACAGCAGTGTACCAGTACCTTGGAAATCTGGAACATGTTTTTGAGCTGGGGTTACTACATCCAGCACCACCTTTTACACAACATGTCAATCTTGGACTTGGAGGGTAGGTAGTCATCGACCTATACTATAAACAAAGACGATGTTTCTTAGCTGTCAACGCTCACAAGCACAGCTGGCCTGTGGAACTTGAGTTCCGATTGGAGCACTGTATAGCACTGCTTCGATCAAGCCTGTAGCCCCAAATCCACAGCGTTCTGGGACACCCGGCAAAACACGTCGTAGAGCGTGGCTGGCGTGAGGATGCCCACCACCAGATTCACGTCACCTCAAAGGAAGCGTCCGAATCACCGCGTCGGGACAGAAACATCCGCCGGTCAATCACCTTTGCCAGGCCGCTGTTGGCAGTGACAGAAGCGTAATCGTGGCCCACCAAGCCAGTGCCCGACTTCATCCTGAGGAGGGCAACGAACAGATGGGTGTGTTGCCTTCAACCATCTTCAACCGTTCTGCGGAAGTTCGACCTTGAAAGCGTGACAACTCAATCTGGTAGCACGAAGACTGGGCATCCAGGCCAGTCTTTAGCAGTCAAGCTTCATGAAGTTCGCAAACTGTTGGCATAAGATTTACATGATGGCGTGACAAAGCATCGGGTGAGAAGGGTGACTCTTGAGGAAGTATGCTCGTTATTCAGCAGGCTCCCTCGAACAATTTTTTATCCACAATCATAACAAGGAAACTACCTGGGTGGCTCAAAAAAGGTCTCACTTGCCATGTTTTTAAAAACATCAGCTATCAAGGCTATCAGTTCCTGGGCTCAACTGAGGATACGCGCTGTAGAATTGCAAAAATCATACAGCCGATTGGCTCACTAGGCTCACTGGGTCTAGATCCAAATGCGTCGCACCAAGCTTCTGAGCAATGCTAGGCGTGTAGCTGCTGAGAGTTTCTAAAGCGCCACAGTAGATTGTGCCATCCTCGTTGAGTCGTACCTGTAGCATGGCGAAGAACATCACACAGGGAGCTGCAACTAGCTGCAACTACACGGAGTGCGGAAAGTAAGCCGAACAAGCCCTCTGCAAGCATGTGTTCCTGGCACTATCTTCAAAATATGAAATATCAAAGCACTCAAAACTCTATAGCCTCAGGCATCTCTACAAAATATGGCCACATCTCACCACATGATCAAGCAAAACAAATGGCCGTAGCTTAAATCGAACATCCAGCTGAGTTGTTCGATCAAAATCCTGCTCCCACAACGTAGAACGCTTTTCGCGTAGTGTGTGTGGGGGGGGCACCGTCATGAGCACGTGAAAAATAAAGGGCTGGGCATCCTCGATGTGCAACCTGGATTCAGGATCAGCATGCTGTGAGAACGGCCTTTTCATGCTCGATTGATTGTATGTATTATAATTATTGGTTTAGTTTCTTTGTACAGGGAGGGAATCAACCATATGTTGCCACTTGGAAGCGTCTGCTTAACATTGAAACGCTCAACGCCTGAGGTCAGGGTGCACAAGAAGTGGCAGGCAAGACGCGGGTGACAATTGGGTCTGCTTTAATCATGATCACCGTCCACGGCACTAGTCCTCCTCCAGATCTGTGCAAGTATGTCCAGTGCTTTTGGTTTACAATGGCTACTCGCAAGATGTGAGTCCCCTAAATAGAACCTCGAGTTTAGGAGCAAGGACGCTACTAGGGGCTCCTGGCCTTACTACTAGCAACAAGAAGCTACTAGGGGCTCCTGGCATCGCTACTAGGAGCAAGGACGCTACTGTTACTAGGAGATCTCGGGTAACCCTTTGAATCTCAACGCCAGGACACACCGGAGGGGTGGTGTCTGCGGCAGCAAGGAACAGGCCGAGGGTGTGCCACAACCACAGGCGCTGCAGGAGACACCGCAAACCGTTTCCGCTGTGCATGGCGGGATGGGTCGATTTCTGGACTTCCCTCCCTCCAACAATCGAAAAACAACAAAAATAAATAACATGGAACACTGTGTTGTGCTTTTTTCTTCTGCAAGCTGCTCTTGCCAAGGATTGGCTGATGCTTGTGGGTTGACGCTTCGGACATACTCTCATGATATGGAGTGTTTCACTCCATCGCCCCCCTGGCCACTGCTGCGGCAAAAGCCTGTGCAGTGCCGAGGCCAGAAGAGAACCTGAAGCCGACAAACCAAACAAAGTGGTCACAACATTCAATACCAGAAAGGGGTTCTGACAGAGCCACAAAACACCTATAGTAGAACATGATATGTGTTTGTTTGCTCATAATTGTCATAAGTATATGAAGAAACACAGTCATATAACGAACACCTGGTGCAAGTCTGCCAAGGAGCCCCAGGTCATCTTGTCCACCCCATGTAAGCTATACGGTTAAACTTGGTCACCTTGTCCGGTCGCTTTTGGCCTGACTCAACAACTCGTGCTAACAAAAGCACCCAAGCCTCTTGGAACATACCGGGAGCATCTGAATCTGTGGGGTGTCTGTCTTGTAGTTTGGAGCCATACCCTACTCACAATTCACTTCAGCCATTTACCTGGCAAAGGTTCAAAGTCCTGCAAAATCATCCAATAAGTTTCTATATTGATAGATCATGATAGATATCAAAATGTGATTCCAATTCCAGGACCAACAAATACCACTTTAGATCACTTTTGTGAATGGAAAATAGTGAGCTTGCTGGGGTCCTCCCAAACAAGCTCTGTGAAACAAGACATGCAGTTGAACATGCACTGTGGCAGCGCCCATTTGAAAAGACCAGCTGAACCAAACTAAGGAGGCGTGAACGGGCTGTGACATCCAATGAGGCACCATAGGCGTTTGGTGATTTGTTTGGATCTATATAAACGGGACTCTCTCAGGAGCGACCGCTTCTTGATCCAGCCTCCGAAAACTCCGCAAATGGGAAAATGATTCTCTATAGCAAGAATGTTGCTAGTAGTAATGGCCTCCAACCTAATAGCAATGGCCTCCAACCTACTAGCTTCTTGTATATATATATATATATCCTGTCTCTACAGAATTTGGGTCACCAAAAACCCTTGTTTCTACCCACAATCGACTCTAACCCAAGCTCTCACTTAACGACACACATTAGCATACAATAACTACCCAGAACAAAGCCCGGTCATTGTATCTGTGTGTGTGTTTAACATTGATGAAAACTTCATAAAACTTCTAGAGACAGTCTAATTGCTACAAAACTGCTCGGCAGATGTGGGCCTTCCACTCAAATTCAGATCACTTGAAGCTACGTCTGGCATCAAAGGAGAAGGCGTCTCAGTCTCAAGTTCGAGAGCTGCCAACAAAGCCTCCAATGAGCAAGCCCGAGAGCCTACGGCCTTCTCCTGGCCTCCAATGCATAGCTGACAAACAGCGCTCATTGCTCCACAGCGGTCCCGTCAGCAGTGCCTGACGTGATGGTCAAGCCTTCCAAATATGGAATGTGTTTCGATGCTATAATATGTTGTGTTTGATATTTTGTGCTATAAACAGATTGGCATATGCATGCATGACTTGATGCGTTACACAACCATACATAGCGTTCCAAAATGGTTAGCCTTGCCAAACAACATGCCAACACGCTACTTGTCTCCAGTCGCACGCACTCGTGTTGATAGAATTTCACTGCCCCTACAGCGATGCTACTCGAACCGTTTATCAAAGCTTTGAGTGGTTCACAAACAAACATGTTTGAGGAACATTTCCTACATATATCATGTTCCGATGATTCAAATCGCCTTGCAAACATCAATCCCAAGATCCTCAAGGATCTGGGTACATGGGGACTTTCAGAGGCATTGCTGAGTGATGAAGCCCGACTCTTAAAACTTAAAACCATCGTAATATAACCATCGCATGTTGGCGGTCTCTTCACAATGCAAATCACAGGAGATTCTAGGAGCCCACGGCTGAGCGACCCATTGGCCATCGACTCGGTCGCAACACGAGTCGCCCCCCACCTGGTGACTGCTTGGCCTTCTCTTGAGCATTCCTGGCTCGCCCAAGCGCTCCTTTTTCAGTTGGTGTCCAACCGGAATCCGCAATCCTAAGACTTCAAAGAACAGCACGAGGACCAAACATGTTGGATGATGCATGTATGTGGTCAAACCTGTCGAATGACTTCTCAGGAGCCTGAAAGTATGATACTGATCCATGCAGGAGCTATTAGGAGCTGCCTATGATCCAAGTTGCTGGCTTTGGTGCCCGAAAATCGGTTGGATCATTTCACCAGCCAACATAGAAGTCGAAAGGGTTGGTGGAACACCAAACTCCTCCGCCTGCATCGGAATCAGTACACTTCGCTTCACATTCTACTTCGGGACCCTGTTCGCACCCACTCAAGAACCCAAGTCCTGCACATCATTGCAATATAAAACACATGCAACCAAACACCCCGGCTTACCCATGTTTCAAACATCAGAATCAAGGATCAGGAGACCGGCCTCCGTCCTTCTCGATGTGTGTGCCAGTAAGATTTGTACTACCAGGCGCTTGGTTAGATACCAACGGCATGATGCATGCCTCCTCAGCTGTGGCCCAACACAACCGCCTGGATATTGAATTCAGTTGTCCCTTACCAGCTGTCAAAACCTTTCGGAACCCTTCCTTGCTAAAGATGGTTGGCAAACGTTGGGAACTAATCAAGTCTCTTCTCCCAGGTTCTACCACTAATGACCACTCTTCTACGTCAGTTTGCGGGGACGGTACGCATGCCATTCCAAACCTGTGAAAGTGCAGCTGAAGACCTGCCAGGACCGCGTCATGGCTTCCACAAACCATTGAGGAGGCCCTTGCTCTTTCAGCTTCCGAAAGGCATCATCCATCGGGGCATTCATCTCGGCCTCGTATCGCTCAGAGGTTGATTAAGACCGCACAACATGAGGCCAAAAATGATTTGTTCCACGGCGTCTAAATGCGATGATGTTGTAAAGCATCAGCAAGATTCAACAAGATTGACATGGCTTTCGCAGGTGCAAACTGTGTGAAACACGAGGCAATAATTCCACCTGTTCAACTGCACTTGCCGCAGTGCGGCAGTAACTCAAAACAAGTACTACAACTGTTATCATTCCAGCATTCGACCTCGAAAAAACGTTACCATTGCCTGCATTTGTCTAAGCACCGTCCATATGCATGTGTTTGTGGATGCATTGTGCACCCTAACAGTGGCAAGTGCACTGGCTTCAAGCGTTGTTGGGCCAGTGTTGCCTCTGAAAACTCATGCTGAGAGAAGGGCGCTGCTCCAAAATCTACACATCCAGCGTTATCAACAACTCCAATACCTACTCTCTTTCTGTGTTTAACTTGAGTCACCTGGATGGTAGATCTCAGCTCATCTATACCAGCTCAAGCAGCAATACCCGAAAATTTGTGTAAAAGGACCGCACATGCAACGACGCGCAGCTTTCATGCTTTCTACATTCCAAACTGCTCAATGGCATCCTTGCCAGTGTACAGCTCAGCTGCAATGATGCCGATAGCTGCAAACATCGCAAAGCGGCCGTTGTTGATCTCTCGCTCCTTAGTGATTACAAAATCATTGAAGACTTCCGCAGCACATGAACAAAAAACAAAAGCTTGTGCCGCAATTGAAGGCCATTATTGAGAAAATGTTTGCAACGTGAATGGTGCTCGACCATTCCGATGTCCAATGTTCCAAAACTCCTTATATAAATTGAAAACATTTCTGCAACCCAGTGACCCTCCATTCTTGGGTGTACTGGCTGAAGGCCAGTGGGTCACCAAAGTTTCCTGGCTCCTTATTGTCACTCTCGGTCCAAGCACCAAGCTCCAAGATGCCAGCCAAGGCAAACAAAGCCACAAAGCCGTAGCTTCCAGGGCCTGTGATTGAAGCAGCCAGGCCGCTTGGCACGGACTCAAAACCAGGAAACCTCACGTAGTGTTGCGCGACCGCGCCAACAGCTGCCATCATCGCAACACGGCCATGCTTTAGCTCGGCAGCACGAAGCTGGCGGAATGTCGCCTCATCTCCCTTCTTGCACAAGCCAGCTGGGTCAAAGTAGCCCAGTGGAGCCATGGCACCAATCTGAGTACTAGGGTCGAAGAAATAACTTCCCGAGCCCTTACCAGCAACACCCCTCCCCTTCTTCAAGGATCCAACACCAGCTGAACCTGCCACAGCCGATGTTGTGGCGGTCACTCCCTTAGCCGCTGCGGCTGCCTTGGCAGCAGCTGCTGCAGCGGCTGCTGCGGTTGCAGGTTCCGCACGGCGTGCAACACTTCCACGTCCAGCAGCAACAGCTCCGACCCCGACAAGGCCCATCAACGGCAAAGCCCTGCCAAATCCCTTGGATGGTGTAGCCTGTGTAGCTGATGTGCCACGAAGGCTTTGCACTGCCTCGTGGTTCACCACAGGTCCAGAAGCGCTTGGGACAAAGGCCTGCGTGGCCACATAGCCCCCAGCAGCAAGGCCAGCGGCCGCCAACATGGAGTTGCAAGGTGCCATAGCTATAGGATGCTATAGGAAAGGAAAAGAGGGTCAACCGAGAAACCAAATGCCTGCAGCACGATGCAGCGCACAGGTTTTGGAAGCCAAAGCACGACGCAAAGCAGCACACACAATGCTGATGAACCCCTGCAAAGGCAAAAAAAAACACACAAGCAAGCAAGCAAACAAAGAAACAAAGAACACAACAAACAAGCTACAATAACCACGATGACGATAACAGATTCAATTGGGCTTAACGTTTGAAGGGGAAACATGGGGGGGCTACCAATGTTTGAATTGCAAATAGACACAGGGTACAAGAACAAGACCCTGGGAATAAGATAGTGCAACAAAACAAAGAAGCAAAAGCTGCATACAGCTGCCAGCCCCGGAATCGGCATCTTCTCAATCCATCTTAAACCTGTAGCCTCTCCACGTCTCCATAGATGCAATATGCAATCATCAATAACATACATTAATAGGACGCATAGTGCTAGAAATAGTGACATGAACGCATTGTGACATGAACGCATTCTTGAAGGATTCTGAACATGGAAATCGTTCTTTGATAAAGCGCGTTCAGAACTTGGCACAGTTTATACGAATTATATACATATGTCATCATGCATCCTGCATCTTCCTACGTATATTGTTGCTTTCACAATAAGATGTTTTTTCTTTGTCACGAAACGTCACTTTTTAGTTGTTTCTATGTGTTCGAGTTTTTCCAAAAATGGTGACAAACAAAAATGTTCAAGCGACCTGCCCCTCGCGACGCGGCACAAAAGAGCGCTCAAACGGCACAACATATTTACAACAGCTTTGAGTGCTTGTGTTGAAAACAAACGAGGTTTGAAACGACACATTCTCTTGAACCGGCACTTCTTCCACGAAACTACTAGAAACACTGTAGCTTCACCAAACCTTACTTTTTGTTCCAAACTGGATCAACTCGCTGGACCCATGGAGTCTCTATATTTTAACTCATCGCCTAACCGGAAGCACCTTGTGTCGATTGTTTCCAAAGGCGATTGTTCTTTGAATTCGAAGTACCATGGCTCTCAGGGTGCAGACATTCCCCGGCCGAATCCGAACAAATCGCCCGACAGGCCGTCGACAGCGTCTCGGCGCCTGCATGGCCTCCATGTCAAGGCCACCCTCATCGATGAATTGGCAGGCCTAGTCCCAATAGATTAATTCACATAACATTTCAGGGGCAGCTGGCCCGGTCCCAATTATAGTCACTAAAACCCAAAAAAGCAGAGTAGGTGAGAGGTGTCGAGGGTGTGGGTATCCACTCGTTTGCAAGCTTCAAATCTCACACAAAGCCCGGCATGGTCCGGTTGGTCAAAGCCACATCTGGTGGTTGAAGCAACCGGTTGGTGAAAACTTGACCAGTCCCACGAGTCCACGCCAAGTGCCCAGTGGGCATTTACTGCGAGGGAAGGCTCAGGTTGGACATGCCAAAAGAAGTACCACTGGACTACGTATGGCCACAAACCGGAATGACCAAACCCACAAACATGAAATTGATACATACTCTGTAAACGTGTGTTGGAAACAATTGGAAACAGTTCTATAGTTCTATCTGTTTGAGGACCACTCTCTTTTGATTTAACAAAATACTTCAACCAGCCAGCAAAAAGCAATCTTTTGAATTCATCGAATTAACGGCAAATCTTTGCTTCATCCTGAAAACTGCATCCTCGAGCTGTCATGAGCTGTCGGCCAAAAAATGCGCCTCCTTCCGCGACCAGCCCCTCTCCTTCATGATACGTACCACCTGCGCCTAGCACAAACAAATGCCCCCAGCCACGGCAAGACCTTCGACTGAACCATGACAGAATCAGGACATTCTGACATTGTGGACATGTGACATGCCTTGGTACACTATAACATACTCTTAAAAAAAAAACACACATTAAACACATCCAAGACATTTCAAAACTCTTTCTCCTTCTTGCTTCTTCAGCCAAGAACCAATATGCAGCAGCTAACAGTATCTATACAAAATTAATCAAAATTAGGCAAATACAACACGTGCAAGCACTCAGCGAAAACTCCCCTAAAAATGTCGCTAATCAAACCTGGTAGGAAGTTCTTAGCTCAAATATCTCTAAGCTCGTCCAGACCCTCTGAACCCACCAGGGGAAGCCAAAGTTGCGGTGGTGAGGGATAGTCCGGCAGTGAGGTGCCTCCCAAAATGTGTCAGTCAGGCAAAGAGTGTCCACAATAGAGGTGGTCTGACCCACTCGGAATGGTTCGCATCGCCCTGCTTCCAGCGTAAGCTATCCTGCGTCCAGTAGCTAGTCCAGTAGCTAGTATATGGCTATGGCTTACTTAAGCCACTTTACCTCCCCCTCGCCTTACTTAAGCTAGTAATGGGTCACTGTTCACCGAACTTCCAGTCTTCCCCGTCCCACTCCACACTTCGTTGCGCCTCTAAGTCGTCCACCGGGGCCTTTGCCACCTTTGCTTCGCTCACCTCCTGCGGTTGAGTCGAAGAAGCAAGAAGTACAGTAAAGAGAAGGAAGTTAGCAACTTTTATCAACGGCCAAAACGAAAAACCAACGAAATGACATCAAATGGCAAATTTTCTTTATGGTCCCTGGAATTCATTGCTCCCCTGGGTGATCTGTTACACCCTGTATTTGACCTAACAAAGTACACTATATATATATATAATATATATATATATATTATGTCAATGATACGCCAGCCATAACATGCCCAAACCATTGGTGAAGCAAAGCCTAAAGCCGCGTCTTGGCGCGCAGACCGAGCTCCTTAGAAGCCAGCAGGTCGAACCTGGACGCTTCGCACACGGAAATGAAACGGCGAAAGGAGTGGGTTGCAACAGCCAAGAGACACAAGACACAATTATCCAAGGATTTGAGCCTGCAAGTAAGACTGTGCTGTGCACCTTTTTGCGAGACCCCGGTCATTGGATGTCATTGGAGCTTTCAAAGGATGCCTGAAAGCCCTCCCAAAATATCACTAATGTCACTAATGTGATCTTCCCATGACGGATCATAATCACAGGGTATACATACTCCTGTGAAAATGCTTTTTAATATTTCCATCAAATCTAAAAGGGATTCCAAAGTGGACTCGCGGTTGAGGAATGTCGTCAAGGAGGCTGTAGCGTCGTCATTGACGGACACCTGCGTCAAGTCCTCACACTCAGGCAAATACCACTCCGCCACCGGGGTTCCACCAACGACGAACGAATCCCTGAATCGCATTGCAAACTATGTCCCTCAGCCATTGGCTGATCCGATTCCACTTGCATGTCGTGACCAAGTGTCTCACCAAACGCCGACTCTCAAAGCGAGGAATTCGCAACTCTGGCAACCGAGTTCCAGACTCACCCGCTGACCACCATGCAAGGACCTGCCAATTGCTCATGACCAATTCCATACGAATTCCTTCATGCGCTTCAGCAATAAGCCCCAGAAGAGCCCACAAAAAGTGCAAAGCGTCAAGAGCTGCGAAGCTGCAAACAAGAACTCCATAATTTCCCCCAAGCCTGTCTTTGCAGCGGTGCCGGGAACAAGCCCTCAGACACTGCCTGGCGGAGTGATTCCAGGGTTACAGTGAAGATTGAGTTCACACTGCTGGATCCACTTCTGGGCACCGATTCCGCAGTGACAACAAGCAAGTGCCCTTCTGAAGCCAAACCTCCAGGGTTTTTCCCCTTCTCCGCGCATCAAATCCGGGTCGTTCCGAAGCCGCACTTCCGAAACCGATCCGCATCCCGTCGCCTCCTTCAAGCGCTGTTGTCCAGCTTTCAGCTCTCCCGCCCGCGCCAGCTCCGAGGCCTCGGGAGCCCCGCCAGCTCTCCGGCGAGGTGACACATCCAAGGTGCTTTGGGCCACTGGGTTGACCTTCTATGACTCTGACCCAAGGCCCAAGGTGCTGAACGTCACAGTGACCGGGCACTTCAACACCGACATCACAATCGACTCGATCACCCCAACGTCTAGACCGATAGTTCGGTGTACCGAACCCCTGGGTGTACACCGGGTCACTGTACCGACCTCACACGGGCGGGGAAACATCCAATTCCATGACGTCCCCAATTCCGCAGTCAAAAGGTTTTTAGACCCATCCTGGAAGACTTCTTGCAAGGATTTCTCTGGTCATAGGCTCGTAGTCATTGTTGAAGAACATCTGAACAAACATGAGCATCCCTGTCAGGCGGGCTTTAGTATTATAGATATACTGACTGATCCCCGGCCGCTCCGAGCCATGTCTACCTGTGCAGTGCTTGGATTACTTTCCAAGGTTCTGCCATGATCCATCTTAGAAAGACACCGTGTCACACACCCAAACAAAAAGCACCATCCACTCGTGTGGGCCTCCGCAATGCGTCTCTGCGCAACCTCATCCTGGCGGCACCCTTCCCAAGTGAAATTGCACAAGGGCTTCCAGAATTCAACCTCTCTTCAGCCTTGATATTGAGAAAATGAATGATGGTCAGGTCACCAACCCTTCAACAGCCGAAATTTCACGAAAACCCGGCCCCAGTAAACCCAAGCCTCAACCCTGGTCGTTTGGATGTCCTTTTCTTTGCCACCTTGTTGGAGCCTATGTAGAAACAACATGCCCGTCCGTCAATCATGTTCAAACGAAAAGGTGCTTGAATTTGGGCCGGCTTGCTGTATCAAGAGTTGTCTCGTTCTTTTTGGGGATTCATCTCAACTTAGTAATGTATATGGTTTGCAGCAATGCATGGCCTTCTAGGCACGAAGTCTCCATCAACACTTGGCCAAGGGGAAAAGAAGCGCCCTCGCATGCCATGTGTATGTTTGTATGTTCTACAAAGGATAGATAAGGATAGACCAGGCAGGTACCTGGAAAACTAAAGATGCTTAATGGGATAGAACACCGAACCGAAAGACTTGTGTTCCAAACTTGCCTTTGGTAGCTGCAGTTTTGGCAACTTGCTGGATCCCATGGCGGCGAAGATGGAGCAAACCACGCTCGTGGCAATCCACTGGGGGCATGTCATGTCCTTTTTCTCTTGGGTTTTTTCATTATCTTGTTGTTTTTTCAGTTTGATTAAAAGACTGAGGCCTGCTAAGCAAGGTTTTGTTTATCTCAAAGGCATGAAACAAATCTAAAGGGCAACAACCAAAGATGAGGTCTCGCTTGTCCATTTGGAGTCCATTGCAACATGATGAACATGTTGATGACGTCTTGATCTTCTTGCGGATGTTCTTTCAGTCTGGTAGGTATCGAGGTGATGTAGTAGAAAACATGTCCAATGTATTGGTTCAATATCAAATAGATATTGGAGAGGTAAATCGCAAACCTTGACATCAAATCTGTCTGTACCCGTTCAGGAAGCAATAGGAAACAACATACATTTTTTGGGGCCTGGACGTGTTGGGTGGGATACTTGCTGGCCACCATGATTCCATGATCAATTTCCTGGAGCATCGTGCTTTGATTGGAAGCAGCAAGCAGCCTGAAGAAAGCAAGCGCCAAGTATGCCTTCAACCTCTCCTCCGTCCATGTCAGGCTGCGTGGTTTCGACCTCTTCTGCCGTCGTCCTTGCTTCTTTTTTCGCCCAACAATCGGGTCACTCGGACAGCTCGCCGCACTCCTGCAACGTGAACGAGCACGAGGACCAGGCCAGTGGGGTCCAAAAGCTGCAGCATGCTCTTGATCAAACACAACATATATAATGAAACACTCAGGCCGCCAGGCCACAAAACACCCCTACCCTCTTCCCATTCCCCTTGCAGCCATCTAAAGTAAAATCTGCAAACATCGTCTCTGTGCGGTGCAGGATCAGGGAGTGTGCCCATCAAGGCTTGAGAGGTAGCAAATGGGAGGGAGGGGAAAGGAGAGAGGATCGCAAGGGGTGAGTCCAAGTCTCGAGAGGCACGAGCGCTTATGATTGAATTAGACTCAGACATTGCGCGTGATCCTGCTAAGTATATACAATGACATTCTGACATTCGTCCCTGATATCACATTCTTGAGGCGACTGTGTTCGGCGGAAGCTACCGGCCTCCCCTCGATTCTACACGCAAGGAGCCGGCACATGCACATTGTTTAGTTCCAACTTGCAGCACTGGTTGAAAGTTGAAATATACAGTAAGAGGCGTTTGCGCTTATTACGGTTTCCTTTCTCCTACTGCTTGTTCACTGCGCGCTTGCGCTGCTCGTGTGTTACTCCTTATTTGCTGTTGCTCTGCACAGACAAGATTTACCCACACCGCGACAAGATTTGCACCCAAACCGCGACGGCGCAGGGGGGATTTGATCCAGGGGGAGGGGGGCCCCCCCTATGTAATACATGTTTGCTTAAGGAAGGAGAAATCAGGTAGCTGAAGCTAGCTTTCGTGACATGCGACCCACCCACCCCAAGAAAAGCAAAATCACCACAGTGGCCCGGCGCGCCTCGATGACACAGGGCTTCTTTGGCGGAGTGCTGTCCTGTGCTTCGATCTTCTTCACCACCTCCATGCCTCGCGAGAAACTCTCGTTCGGCCCGAGAGAATTTGAGTTCCATCGCCTGGGGCCTATTGAAGGCTGAATTCGATTAAGATCTACTAAATTCAAATTGTTATATTATAACCTTATTGTTACTACAACTGACAACAACCAAAACAAAGCATCATCAAGCATCCCGAAACATGGTCGAATAGGGTTTGGATGAAAAGACCCTTCACGCTATTGCCATCAGTCCTTTTCCCATCTCGTTTGACTCGCCAGCTCAAGCTGCATCCGTTTGGTATCCCCTGCCTTCTACGACGCTTCCAAACACCACGTGCTTGCCATCCAAATGCGGAGTCGGCACGGTGCAAATAAAGAACTGGCTGCCGTTCCTCACAACAAATCACACCGTGCCATGAAAGAACGTCGGCAACATCGGCAACATCAGAATACGGAAGAAAATTGAACACGGATTCCACCATGGAACATGGCTGAGATAGCCAGAAGGATTCGAAACTCTATAGGAATCCTCTCGTCAACATGCTGGCCATAGAAAAGCACAAACAATCCCAAACGCAGTTGACACTTCATCTGCTCAAACCGGAAGGCACAAATGATGACACTCCAGGAATCTCCAGGACATCCCAACACAGCCAAGCATCGTGTTCGGGCCCGCATTGGCCATGGACAAAACTCCAGGCCCGGTGTGCTTCAACTTGAAGTTCTCATCCGGGAACTTTTGACCATAGATGGACTTCCCACCTGGTGTCACACATATATATATATATATACTTGAGTCAACGACTCAACTTGCAAGTCAGCCCAAAGTTTTACATAAGTTCTCATGACTCAACCAGAAACCGTCAAGACATGTTGATCCACACAATTCGACTGGCTTGTCCCGTTCCATATTTCGGCCAAGGCACCGGTGCCATTCCCTCGGGTGAAATCACCTCCTTCGAAGCAGCGGGATGATGGGAGCCGCTAAAAAAAGCTTCAAAGCTGCCAAGTGCCAGGAAGCCAAGAAGAGAAAACCCGAGGGTTTGGATTTGTCTCGAAAGGGTGGTTGCCTCCAGGGTGCTTGCATTTTGGGAGGAAGTATAGTCGTGGCATGTCGTGGCCAAATATGATGAGACCGATTCCATAACACTTTGGATTGAGACATTAGGACATTGGTCTTATGGACATGGAAGAATTCAAACCTCTGGAAAATACGTCAAAATACAGCCTTCCAGAATGACACAAACACTCAGTGGACGAAACCAACAGGGGCCACTACATGGCTACCAGGCTACCATTTATTGGCGCTTTGAAGTCTTGTGTGGCCCATGAAATCTGTTGCAAGCTGGTGCTCCATTTTGGAACCCCAGTAACCCTGTCCAGGCCACGCTGACCCAACTGGGTGACACGGGGGTCCTTGGATCATGAAGTTCTTGATCACCCTGGCACAGCTGCATAAGTTAGAACGTTTCGGGCACGAAGTGCTTTTTCTTTTCACTAGATCACCCCAGCAGGGAAATCATTCCAGAAGTAAAGAGTATCGAGCACTCAAACTGGCCTTGCATTGAAGAAAGGTCACCAACGACTAACAACAAGACCTTGCTCGTGAGGAGAATCCCTCAACTATCAACCGTGAAATCAGCAACAAGTTGGCAACACATTTTCTCTATGTCTATATTCAAGAAATGCGTTGCTTTGAGGATGTAACATGCGTGGCTTTATGTATATTGCAACCGCAAGTCACCCTAAACACGTATCTTTTTCAGGACGGCGCTTTGTCCTACCCGGTATCGCTCTGCAAGGTGGGATTTTGCCAATCCTGCTCGCATATTGCCCGCACAATTCGCAGAAGGCACATGAATTCCAGAGGCCGAATTGCCAGTATCCTCTTACCAGGACCTGACACATTCGCAGGGGGTTCCAGATTTGGTGCGTTGCAAAAAGTACATCGTAGATCATCCACCCAAAAACAGCTGAACATTCGTCGTGCTGCGTAATTATATACTGTAGAACGGGTCGAGCATCTTAAGCCCCTTTTGCAGAGCACTCTGCCAGAGGTACTTTGCTCTAGATCTTCCCCCTCGAGCTACTACCTAAGCTATCATTGATCACTGAGCATCCGCCGTGCGCCAAGTGATTGGTCTTGGCCTACAAGATGACAAGTGAATCGATGTGTGAGCGTTCACTGGATATTTGCTATCACCCGAAAACCGCTCAAATATTTCTGCTGACACCCACAACAATCAAAGGCTCCAGATCAGCCTCCAAATCAGTATATTCCACTGGTTCACTAGTTGTTTCAATCCCATTTGAGGACATTATGGAATAAATTCTCCTTGAGCCCTAGCGACCAAATATGCTCCGTGTATTTGTTGATCCACGATCGGCCCGGTATCTCATTTCTTGTTGTTGCGGCTTAGACACTCCAGAAACCAGTTCAATCAATTTGATCGTTTAAAGCGGTACTTTTTGCAGAACGAGGGCGTTGGTGCCGAGTCACTGGATTGGTGTTCGCCTTTTCCAACCACGGCGGTGTCTTCATTTCGGGGTACTGAAGCAGCATCTGCGGAGGGGAGGAGCCAGCCAGAGTGACTCTCTTCGGCTCCCCCAGCATCCTTGGATATGCTCAAAACCCTGGTGGACATATTACAAAGAGGAACAACACAATCATAAAATACACAAAATCTCAAAAAGACCATTCCTCAATAGATGCACTCTAAGGAGATTCCCGGCATATTTTATATGGTTCAAACATCTGGATCCGCTCAAATCCATTCCTTCCAGGCATCCGACCCTTGCCGTCGTAGCTGCGATGCACCTCCGAGATATCCAGGAAGTGTCCTTGATGAAAGGTCTTCGTGGTGTAGACCAGCTCACCAGTGGGCAGGCACTTCACATCCGGACACCTTCTCACCGGCACCGACTTGCAATGGAAAGGCCCTTCAAACGTCCTGGGGCCTGGTCGTCAAAAAGGGCGCGGTTCAATTCGACGAGTTCGCAAGTCGGCAGGGCAATGTCATCACTCGAGGGATCTTCATGAGACCAGAAGACAGCAACGCATCGACTTCCAATATTGAAAGAACATCCACCAACTTGCTTCTCGCAAGGAGATCCCAAGTTAAATACATGGAATGCAGGTCGATGGCAAACTCATTTGATGGAGTCCCTGTGTGTTCAAACCAAGGTTTGGAACACAAGTTCAAGGAGGTGTGAGCCATGAGACCGTGGGCAAGAAATGCAAGGATCACCAAAGTCTTGGGTGCAGCGAGGTGTCCCTACTAATTGATAGCTCTCCAAAGAAGATCCAATGATTATCCAATGGCTTCACGGCTTCACTAATAAAACATAGTAATATAGAGAGAGATGGACCGGACCTATGTGTTTTTGTGATTTCCCTGAGGTCTTCCCAACAAAACCACACCTTTGCAAGTCGCGGATGCGGGGTTAAATACATGGTCAACCCCCGGACGACCCTTTGGAGTCCCCCGGTCGGCCCCCAGGCCATCGATGTCTGGAACACTTCGGCCTCGGGCTTTCTGCCGTCTTCCGGTAGAAAAGTGCTTAGAGCGATGACACCCGGCCCATCCCGGTCAGGCCTATGAACCAGTCTGGGGTGTCCCCGGACACAGCAGAGCTCTGCACTTCTGAAGGGTTCACACGGCCATCCCAACCTGAACAGGCGAGGCAAAGGCTAAATGGAATTCAACGTGTGATTGCATTGTGTATAAAACATGACGAGGTCCCCAGATCAAAAAATCAACAGCTGTCAGTATACATGCACCGAGAAAAACATTGAAAAAAACAACAGCACCTACTTCATGAACCTTCGGCCCTCTTCAACCCTCTGTATAGTCTTGCCCGTCCAAAGCAGTTGTCATGGCGCATGAACACACGGCCACGGTTTGCTGCCGTGCCGCCGTAGCCGGTGTGGTTCTTGGCCTTTTGGAGAAGCCACAGGGGTGACACCTCCAAGCCACGCTGCCGATTGGACCTGCTGGACCGGCTTGAGGACATGCTGGCTCTGATCCGGTGAGCTGCGGAGAAGGCACAGAAAGACATGCTGGCATCGCCAGTGGCTGACGCGCTTAAAATAGATTTGGAGGCCTCAGGTTCATATAGTACTCATATGACTCATTTGTATACTCATACTAGATACGGAACATAGATCCATGAGTAGGCGGGGTACGGTGTTTATTACATAACTTGGCTCCAGGATTTAGGGCACGTCTCTCCTCAGAATTGAGCACTTCTTGATTGTGATACAGGAATGGACCCCGCGTGGGTGTGGCAATGGATAGGTCAGACAGGTCGGAATAAGGGTCGAGCATGCTTAGCAAGTGGTGCCCCCGCACTAGACAGCTTCGAAGGAAACAACTCCACCAAATACTGTTAGTGAATCTCTGAATGTCCCTAATTTACCCATGCTGACCTATACTTACTTATACACATACAACGTATCTTAGTAGAAGCTGTGAAGCCTATACGTATAATATACATTATAGAGATAATCGTATTAATATGTGTAATATTGTTACTTGTACACAAACACACACGTGACCTCATGCATGGTCTTTCTCCCCACATGTGAAACGCCCAGCCGTACGCACCGCGTACGGCGCCCACCTGTGGAACTTGGAGCCCTTGAAGCCGAATCCCTTCTCACCGGTGCAAAGCCTCAGTCCGTACGTACGACTACGCTCATCTCAAGTCACACCAACGTTCGCTTCCAACCAGCTCGTGCCATAGAACACACGTGTTCAGGGTCTGTGCCATCTTACTCGGAATATATGCTGTAATACCAAAAGGAACGGAACCCTGCAGGTCCACATCCGAGAATTGGAGGGTTTAAAGTTTAAAATGGTTTAAGATACTGTATGCCTCACGGATCCTCACGGTGTTTTCCTCGACCGCCGTTCGGAACGGAACTACCCGTCCATCGACCGTTCACATCCATTGGCTTTTGCCTCTATGAGTTAGGTATACTATGGTATACTGCGGTCCTGCTGTGTGCTGGGAATATGAGCGGCAGCAGTTATTCATTACTAAACTCAAATACTATGTGGGGGTCCTATCTCGTTTAGACTACTTATATAAGTAGGAGGTCATGTCACAGTATCTTGTTCAGACTACTAGAGTAGCAAACCACAGTATATATCTTGTTCAGACTACTTTAGTCTCATCAAAAGAAGTATCTCGTTTATGTTGGAGCCCTATCTCATTCTGTCTCGTTCACCAGTGAATACTGATGCTGGACAAACAAATAGTAATGCTGTAAAGAATGAATAAAAGTAGTTGCTCACATCCAATCGTCCACAACCCCACAATCTCTTTGCCCCTCCATGTTTCCAGCCTGGCTGTGAGTTATTGCCACGGGAGACCAGACCAGTATATCTATATATAATCAATCTACAGTATCCTTTGGACGATCTTTTCTCTTGGGGTCTCTGGGATGTCTCCAAGAACCACAAAAATCCAAGCCATCTACCGATGCATTGAGTCTCCAGAAATCCGCCCGAAACTCGGGTGGCGCGGCCCACTGGGCGTCGCCACGCACGGAAGTTCTCCGCGGTCTTCGGCACCGTCTCTCCGTAAAGGCCCATGACAATTCGGCCGGCCTAGATGGTGGGCAAACCATGTCGGGTTGATGACCAATGACCAAAATTCTGCAAAAGGACCTCGTGATCTCTCTCTCTCTCTTGTATCACCATTCCTAGAATTCCAGTTGATGTGATTCAGACTTTCTCAGACGGAATGATCTACCATCAAAAAGATAAGGGACTTGCTCTTCCTATGCTTGTCGCTAAAGTAGATGCAGGCACATTCAAAAACAGCACGGAAGTGGAGGATGACTTCTTGGAAGGCTACTTTCCTTCGGAAACAGGGTGCTTTCGGTGTTGTCAGCTCAAAATGACACGCGGCAATCCACAGTTCCGGCCATCCACAGAAGTTCTGTAACAAACTCCGCAACGAGCTCTCTCTCTCGCGCGCCTTCTCAGAGCCAATGGACATGTCGAAAAAGACCTTGTTGGTCACCTCGACGCATGGATGGAAACAGCATACAAGACAGCATGCAACAAGTCTCACCGATGAGCGGTGAGACTAAACCATACTAAACCACTGCACTTCTGAAGAACAAATCCACTTGGGAGGTTCGAAAGCAAAACCAAGGCAACTCTAAAGGTGCCCCGTGCTCGGAAAATTATGCCTGACGACCTTTGTTGACCGCCGCTGACTCGCTGCAAGACACATGTCGTCCAGAAAACCTCCAAGTCGCACAGGTTTTACCTAAAGAAACGATGATTTTACGACAGATTTCTACAGGAAGAACTGATGGCAATTCACCCCCGTGGACCAAAAGGGACCTGAAGATGAGGAAAGCCCTCATGAACCTCCATGAATTTATGCAAGGTCAGGCTCGACCAGCCTCCACCCGCTCGCCTTAGGCGCCTCCGCCGCAAAGTGCCTCCGCCCAGGAGCGGTTGCTGCCTTAGGCCGGAGATGGCAGCAACGTGTGGTGCGAAAAGCATGCACTAGTCGATGGTGGAGAGCTCAAAACACAAGCATCGTTTGCAGCAAATGCACAGGTCAAAATTACATCCATTCCACACACGTTTTGTTTCAAGCATATGCCAATGCACAGGCTGTATTTCAAACCTGCTGCCTCTCGTTTACCCTAAAAAGTGTGCTACCCTTTGTCAAAGCTGCTTTTGGCCTGCGGGGCACAGGGTTTTGAGCCACTTGCGCGAACCAACTTTCATTGGGCCTTGGTCTTTCTTCTCCCAATCGGGTTTTCTTTGAATCCCAGCCCTCCTCTCTTTCCTGGCCAGTCTGCTGCGAAGCCCTCTGGCACCTTGCCTTGAATCCCGTCCTTTTGGCACAACATCTTTCCAAGGTTCTTCTTTGGGCCTTTCTCCATGCCTGTTTTCATTCCAGGATGAAGATGGCCAGTGTTCTTCCCACGCGTCATCGTATCTATAGTGGGAAGAACCACGTTCATCATGGAACTCCCACCGGGACTCCCACCTCTTAGTCCATTCCCAATTCACCCATCCTGTCCCTTCACCTTTTTCTCCCGTTTCCCTTTTGTTCCAATTGGGCTTCCTTTCCTCGTCCATTTCCTGCAGAGCTTCATTTCTCTCCTCTGCCCATTCGGCTTCCCACCATTTGTTCCAATATCCTTCTCCCATTTGCTTTGTTTCAAGCACAGTTCCGAATTCAAAAGCTCCAAGAAAAAGGCTGTAGTTCAAGCCTGACTTGGAAGAATCAACCAACAGCTGTCTAGTATAGCCTGATACCAGAAATGCTACAGCATGTTTGTTTGCCATATGTGAATTATGAACATGTGCCAAAAAAATAACTGCAACACAATCACCAGTGATGCAGCAATGCAGCACAAAACTTCCAAGCTGTTACAGTGTAGATTGAATATTCAATTCCATCAATGCTTTGACTCAAACAATGCTGCTGTGGTTGTCCCGATTGTCCCGGCTTTGTTGCAACGCCAGGCTTGAGGAAAGTTGTCGCAACGCCACTAGGCTCTTGGGATCGCCTTCTTTTGGCATGTTCCTGCTAGCTTCTTGTTACGTCCGTAGCGATGCCAGGAGCCCCGTTCGTCGCGTCCGATCGCTCCTAGTAGTAAGGCCAGGAGCCCCTAGTAGCGATGCCCTTGTTCCTACTAGCGCATTGGCTTCGCGTTTCCGAGGAGCTGAACCTTTGGATCGCCGTTTTAAACGCTGCAATCCCCCGTGGTCATGGGCGCTTGCTTGAGTTCTCTGCTTGACACACTTCATTGAGGTGCAGCCGTATTTCCGCCACGGGGATGAACACCAACTACCAGGCACCCGGGGTAAGTCCCCCGCCGCATGTTCAAGGGCTGGTTCTGTTCTTGATTCTCCAAACAAGCCTACGAGTGCTGTTCTTGATGCAATCCAGAAAATGGATGCAAATAGTATCTTGTTAATCTGTTTTTTCACATGCGGTGCTCCACGGAAATGTAGCATCCAAACGATCTTCCACAAAGACCAGGAGACTTAACTGAAGTATACTTGTGAGTTTGCCTTTATGCATATGGTGTGCTTTTGCACGTGTAGCAGTTCTGTTGGGCTACAGCGCATACAACTCCAGCTATGCTGGGTGCACCCAGAGGGATGAGAGAGCATGAAAAAACGGGTTGGAGACCATCGCTACTAGGGTGGAGGCCATTGCTATCAGGTTGGAAGCTATTAGGTTGGAGGCCATTGTTAGTAGATTCCTTATGCAAGCGTTCAGGTGTAATCAAAGGCCACCGATGGTCGTGACAAATCCGAGGCTCACACGGCCCAGCGCATGGGAAGCATGGCCATTGCCTGGGTGGCAAAGGAAGGGCATCCCCAGAGGTCAAAAACAGACCTGTGGACTTCTGCAGTGATTGCTTTCAATATCTTTCAATAGATCTGGGAGGCTATTCCTCTATATTCCCAGCTGGTCTGAAGCTAAACTCTAAAACCTGCATTTTTTGCTGTCTTGTCCAAGGCCTTGTGGAGGCACTAGCCCAGCAAATCCCACCAGCATGCCACATCCCATCACGTCCCCCATCCAGGTGCCCGGCAAAATTGAAAGGCTGAAGGCCAGCGTTGGTCTGGTCCCACTTTTTAGGCCAAAAAACGCGGCCAGCGGCATCAAGACATGAGCAATCTCGCCCTGGACTTGCCATTCACTCAGTGCAGTACGTGAAGGACCACGGCTCATGATTCCTGGCATCGCGGACTAAGCCTGGGCTAAAGGATCCATGATTTCCTGATCTTCACAAGGAGCTTTAAGTGCAAGAAGTGTTGTTAGTATTATGTGAGACTAAATCCCTGGGAAGTGAACATGTCATAGTCATAGTCATAGTCTCTGATGCTCGTGGGTTTCACCATGTTCGCATGGAGGTTCAGAGATATAGCTGCCCGCAGCTTGATCACATGAATGAAGGGTATGAACAGGTCTTCCGGGCCAGCAAAGCCTTTTCCGCTTCCTCTCTGCAGTGTGCTAACCCTGCATGGCATGTCTCATCTCTGCATGTTGTTCCAACATCTCAACCAAAGTAAAGACAGTGAACCGTCTGTCTACAGAGTCTACGGTTTGTCCTTTTTGACTGATTGCTGCTTTCGTATCACGCTCTGTCATATCTGACAATCCACCGGAGTGAACTCTCGTTGCTTGGATGGTCGTCATTGACCGCACGAAGTAGCGGCCAGGCGGTCAGAAGATATGGACCATATCCTTGGGATTCAGGTTCTTCATGTGGAATGCAAACACCAAGAAATGTACTGAGTTGCTGATGAATGTGAACCTTGATCACACACACATATTTGCCAACTATATGACATGACTCATTTGACAGGAGACTTGTCCAGGACGTTGAATGATGCGACCAGAAACATGAAGCAAAATATAGCATAAAATGACATGCAGAATCTAAACAAAAAACACACTTAGAACATCTTAGAAACTACAATGGGTGTCGGCGTCAATCCACATCATCTGCTACCAACCTGAGCCCTCCAAACATCGAGCATACAATGTCTCTCCCACCAGTCACGCAGCAGTCTTTACATGACGCTATGAACAAACAAAAACCAACAGCATACATTATATAATTAATTTCCGAGTAGAATATATATATATATATTATATTTATATAGTATAACAGTAAGTCAGACACACACACACACAGACACATGTGTGTGTGTGTGTCACATATACATATATAATGTATATGATGTTATATATCCGGGCCAGTTCTGGTCCTTCCGTCCCTTTTTGTCGACTGGCCAGCCACTCTTTTCGGCTGACCAAGCTTCAAAGGACAAGGTCCAGAAGAGGATGAATGACAGCAGCCCTCCACCAAACCTCAAGAAACACCGACCGGTGGACCCGTCTACATCAACCATCAACCCGTCCGAACCGTTCGCGTTTCCCCGCGTTTCGCCGTGGACCTGAAAAAGTACACATGGTGGACATCAGTGGAACGAACAGGAGAGCCAACACAAACCTAACGTCACAGCAGACTGAGGGCAAAGCTGACTCACAAAGAGGTCTCGGCTCTTGGGAAAGTGCCTCAAGGTGTGCAAGTGTTCCTTCTTTCTCCCTTCAGCCCGCAACAAAAGTGTTCGCTTCGGATACGCTTTGCTTGCGGCGTCTTACAAAAGTCATATATGAAAAGACAGTGCATCAAAGGACAGGTAGCAAGTGTCCGAGAAACCAAATCAATCCTGACCATGGCAGAATGAACCAAGCAAACCACCTTCCGTCACCTGGGTCAAAGCCAAGCCAAGCAAAGCTGCACAAAAGAAGGTTGTCCCACCTGTGCACTTCGAATTCCATCTTCGCTGCGATCATCAGGGAATGGATCAAGGTCACCAGAATGAACACACCAACTCCTCACAGTCAGGTTGGCGAAACCGTCGGTGAACCGACCGTTCGGGACTGCTGGATGAGCTGTTGAGCTGGATGAGCGACCGCTCTCCAAGCGCGACGGTCTGCTGCGACGGTCTCTCCGACCCGGTGAGAAGCGATGAACACCGCACCGGTGGAAACTTGAGGGAACTGGTCCTGTTTGATCAACCAGGGTGTTCGGGTGGCATGGATTTGTGGACAAATCAAACAGGATCACAGGATCCCCCCGATTCAAAAATGCGGATCATTGCAGATCCTCCACACGGATGGTGCAGTACTGTGTCCAGTGTATTGTTGGAGTGGTACCACCACTACCATGTCAGCATGGTCTCATGACAACACTGAAGCTACAACAGAAATAACAGCAATAAGAAGGCATTTGCAGCCCACTGCGCGGTCGATTCCCTCCCCTGCACTAAACATTATAGGTCTTGAACATTATTGAACTACGATAGTAAGGCCTTCGACTAGGAACATGATTGACTTCATCTACTTGATTCCACCGGCAAGGGACCCAACAGCGCGCTGACCTATCTGAGATCCATTCAAAACCATTTAGATTGGCTACTTATTATTAGTGAATAAGCTTTCCAACAGCCAATGATTTTTTTCAAACATCTGAAAACAGTGCCAATGTCTACCAGTGTCCCCTCAACTGCCCATCTGTCCTAGTAGCCCCTCAATCTTCAGAAGGCCAGCAATGCAGCCAGCCATGACCTCGATCGCCCGACTGAGTGGGGCATGGTGGGGGTCTCCTGCCTCAGGCAGTTGATCAACTGAATAGGCCTGGTCATTGGAAAACAAACATGGCACCCATCCACAAGCAGCTTCACCCTTCAAGTGTTTTGGTTGGTGAGCTTCACTTCGTGGCGGCCGATACGCTTCAAATTAAAACATTCTTCGACTTTGCGTAGTCGTGCAAGTACTGTTGAAGGAGGACAGTCCGGACCATTTCAACTAGATGATCTATGATGGCCGTCTGGCCGTCTGGTGATTCTCCCACACGGTGGGCTCCTTCTCCCAAGTGGCTCCAGCAAAGATTCGGCAGTTGGTGAGCGTCCTGGCCCGCCACCACTGGGAGAGTACACCATTTGGTCATAGATGGATGGCATTGGATGGCACAGCCCTCTCAATTTGGAGTGTTTTCCATGGGTATTCCATGTTCTCTGTTCATGACTAAAAGATACTAAAAGGGTATTGAATTAGGGAGACTCCACAACAGAGCCATTTCAGTAGTGGAATGGAAACAGCAAGCATATCTTGCCACTTTCAAGTGTCCCGGGTCCCGAAGGTTGTGATCGGTTGTGACACTAAGTGTGCCAAGCTAGCTTGACCCGTCCGTCTTGACAGCAATCCAGCGTTCAGTAGCTGCAGCTTTACCCGACACCAAGATCGTTTTTGTCGGGCCTCACGTTTTGCTGCAGGGCGGCCATCTGCAGAAACTCGCCGTCCTCGTCCTTCTGTTGCACCTGCCACCAAGGCCATTTCGGCAATCCTTTCGACCCTTTGACCCCAGCAATAAACACGCCTTCCCACATGAGTTTGTCCCTGATATTCTCCCATGTGTAAACGAAGGTCTCTTTGGGACCTCAGTTCAATCCTTGAGTTCCCACGTCATGATACCGAGCGAAGTGACTCACTTCGGCTTGGTTTCCCATAACACATGTTTCAGGTGTCCAGCAAAGTGACGAATTCTTGGCATGTCAACGACTTGCAACCCAAAGCTGTCGTCCACTTGCAGCACTTAAGCAGCCCAAACTCGTGTTGGAAGTGCAAACTAAACTTAAGAGGATGAACTCATATGCGATGGACCTGCCACTTGTTGGTACTCGCATCGACGAACACCTTCCTTTGAGCCTTCATATTGCTCGACATCGCGTTGGTTCTTCTCCGCTCTTCGATGCCACAGTGCTGTTCGAAGAGAGGGGCCTTTCTAGGGACGAGTCATGCAGTGAGGTTTGCCAAACACATGGAAAACCGCTCGAAGCTCACAAAAGCATTGCAGCAAATATTGAGTGGTTGGGACAAGTCAAGAGTAATTAAACATACTGGATATCATGTGTCATGCCGTGTTGCAACGACTGTGTCTCTTCGATCCATCAGCCCCGCGGAGCGTGAAAAAGCGTTCAGACTGACTAGTAGTCATGTGAGCGGCATGGATAATGTAGCAAACCAGGTACAAAATTGATCAAATTTGTACAAAGCTGTCAACGCCTCACTTCCAGGGTCACTTGTGTCTTTGCAGAAACCCGTCACTTGTGACCCGATCCGACACGTCGTCACTCACTTCGTCTGCGTCGCCCTGACTCACTGCCATCTTTTAAGCTCACCAACTGCATCTCACCCAAACGAGAAATACATGACGCTCTTCCTTCCAAGCGCAAATTGGTGCTGTTTTGGATCATGGACATATCTGTGGCCACATGTGATTCACGAGAAGGAAAAAGCACAATCTATCATGCAACACATGCATCGCTCTTTGGTCGAGGTCTGACATTTGATTCAAGTCATGCCTTTGGCATGCTCTTGATGAAACGTGCGAAGGGCACTGTGGTGCATCTCGTTCAACCTGAAGGAATGAAGCATCCGCAAAAAGCTTTGCTTGTTTCGTACATACTCTGCTCATAGTTACTGCATTCAATTCAGTCTATGCCGAGAGTTGCACACAGAATACCACAGCTTGCGGCCGTCATATGGCCTTGAGCTACGCAGATTGGCTTTGGGCCAGATCTGTTTGTACATGTCGCTAGCATTTGTCCTGGACTCCAACGCAGGCCTCAACACGCATGTTTTTACTGTAAATCTCATGCGCCCATCATTATGTGATTGTCGATGGGAAGGACATGGTAAGGACTGCATTTGGCATTTGGCAGCTACGTGCATTATGAAAGGTTTTGTTGAGCATACAGTACTGTTCTGAAAAGTTGAGTGGCAATACTCTGTTGCAGATTGAAGTTTGAGGGTATTGGCTGATGCAAGAAGGTCCTTTTCTCCACCCTTGGGTTGTTGGTCTCACCCGAAACTACATGACCGCCCCCGACACAGGTAGGCCAAACTTGTCATCTGAGCCTTGCAATGCTTGGGAGGTCTTGAAGCCTGGCAGTATGAACCATCAGCCTCGCGGAGTTCGCGGTTTGGCCTCACAGGTGAAGCTGCCTGGCGACCAGCTTCACGCCCGGCCAATGAGAGGTCTTTGCTGATCCCGGTGTGCCAGGGAAGTGCGGAAGAACAGGCTCCTGTTGAGATGTGTCAACTGCCAAGTGAACAAAAACACCCATAGAACTCAGTGTATGACATGCAATTCTATGGATCTGAAAGCTCTTCCGAGATTTGATCGGATATTATCCTAAAGCGTTGCTTTTTTTCCTTCGCGTGTTTTATCGCCCTCAACACCTCAACAAAGAATACTGTAGTGCGGACGGAGCCCTCACTAGTAAAGCACACCAGAACGGTTCATTGTTAACTTTCAATGTTGAGATGAGCCGTTGTTACAATTGTTCAGGTCTGTCCATTGCTGTTTTCTACCTGCCTGCACTTGCTCTTTATCAATCTAAATGGTGAGTCCGAAGTCCGAAGTGGGGAAAAGCCAACAAACACCTTGGACACTCTAGACTGAGCTGCCCAGTTACCCAAATGGATGTGAATGGATAATCCTATAAGCAAAACAATTTCCACACAGCCGCCGAACCTAGGAAAAGCCTTGGCCATATTGGAATGCCAAAAATCCGTGCCCGCCCATGGATGGGCAACGGGTGCCCCGGTCGATCGGGTACCAACTCTGCCTTCAGCGAGGGCCAAAGAACTTGGCCTCGGCAGGGACTGTCGTGCATGCGGTACATAGACTTCAGGGACTTCTTCAAAATACATGGACTTCTTTGGATGGACAAATCATAATTACAGTACCTACTAGTATAATTAATAAGGGCATCGCTACTAGTAAGGCATCGCTATTAGTAACAAGGGCATCGATGCCTTTGTTGTGGACTCCAACCGCCACCCCGCTCCCACGCTCGGCTCCATCGCCACCGACCGCTTCCGCTCTTGCGTCCCCGGGCATTCGGTGGCGGCGCCGCCCGAGCAGCGCGGAGGTTCACGGCCCTGGCGACCAACACATCCTTTCAACACATCGAAGCACTGGTGCTTCGGGGGGATCGTTTCACCTGTAACAAGAAGCTACGGACGTAGCGCAAATAGCTACAAACGTAGCGATGGCCTCCAACCTAATAGCGATGGCCTTCCCCTAGTAGCGTCCTTGCTATGAGATGAGGGAATGATCTGTAGAATTTACAGATTCCTTAGGATCCAGCCACCCTCATTCTCTACGAGTCGCACCAGTTAGATATTCCAACATGTTGATCCAAATGAGTCTAGTCATGTCTAGTCTTTAAATAGAAACTCCCTCCAACCAATGAGCTTTAGTCTGACCTTTATTTACTCTATTCAAATCCCAAAAAGGTTTGTCTATGTTTACCTACCAATGGGGAGGGCTTTCACTCATCTGCATGGGCCAAATCAATGATATTCATTCATGATATACTTTTCTAATTCACTCCATTTGTCTTAGCACCAGGGATCCTGAAACATGTTCCGCATTCGCCGAGGGTGTGGGGTGTGGAACAGTTTGAGACGCACGCAAAGGATCTCTGGGCTCAGGTTGTCTTATAACTTGAAACCAGTTTGCATGAGCTTACAATAGCTTGCAATTGTTCTTCTATTCCACGCTGTTATAGCATGATATAGCAAGCCGGTTTCATACACCGCAAGTTTGGTTCTCTACTTACGTATAGTATGGAACAAACCGAGTCCATCCAGATCCTGAGCGTGGAATCCAATGATATCACGCCTACTCGAGCTTATGTCGTTAAATCTGATGGAAATTAAATTGTTTGCTTTGTTTTTTTGGGAACAGTATGTGGAAGCCTGCAGGACTGTGCAGAACTACCTTTGCTGGCTGGATAGTCAGCAAAGACAAGGAAAACTCAAGTCCTCACACAAAAGGTGTATTGATGTCTATGGTGCATCAATCATTGAAAGGTAGCAAATACTTTTAGTTGCAAATGGAGATTATGGCGTTGCTTGCTATTTGTTGCATTTTGTTGCAGCCTACCAGTACCTCTGGTGGGTTGTACACTGCTTGGAAGCAGGAATTTGAAGCACCGTGTTGACTTATGTTTGAATCAGTTTTTGTGACCACACACCCACACACCCCTCGATCCTAAACCCATCTCCTTGGATAAGCTGTGGAGCCCGCCTCGATGCCTTGTGCCATTTCTTCACCATATCTATCTGGCTCTTTGCCTGGCAGAAGCATGCAGAAACGACAAACGTGAAGATCTGAGTCGATCAACATCTCCATTCTTTTCTCACGTGCTTCTTTGGGTGATCGCATGTGTTGGTGATTCCATCGTTGAACGCCAAAATTCCCTCCACATTTCGTTGATGTCTCCGATTACATCCTGGTACACCGGGTCATCAAGGAACACAAATTCATTACGGGAATGCCTTGCTCAATGCGTCTGCCGAAATCCGCAGCTTCAATCTTGGTCATGAATGAATTATAATGAATATTATTGACCATCTATGAGCTATATATACTTGTACCCGCTGCAGGCCCGTGATGCTCTTCACCAGGCTCAGCAAAGCCACCAGAAGCCAGTCCCTTTGCCACACGTTCATCTTCAAGATTCTAAAAACATATACGTAAAGGCTACCTGAATTCGTCTAACCTGGCCAATTCTGAATTCCCCCCGTCTGCACCGGAACCGCCCGGTGGCGCCTCTTGGCGGCTTCCTTGTGCACCAGTGACGCCGGTCTGCGGGCAGCCCAGCGCAGGTGGAACAGGTGGACTGTATACGGAACTGTTTTGAACATGGGTGCGATTCAGAACCTATAGTGGTCCAAGTCTGGGACATAAACTGCCCTTGTGACGCAAATATGGAAAACCCCAGGACACAAAGGATGCCTTGCTGGTAACTTATCCCGCCTGAGCGCTCGGGCTGCCAGGATTGGCCTGGGCGCGACCCGACGACGAGGACATTTGACGACCAAACCGGACGATTCCGGCCACCGACCCCATCATTGAAGCCGCCACATGAAGCCTTCACTCCAGTGCAGAATTGGTTCCCGAAGGAGTCTGGAGAAGGTAGGTGGTAGGTAGTCTGCTCATGTTTTAGTTGGTCTTCCAGTGGAGAATTGGTTCCATCATGGCAAGCGGGTCCAGGCCCGCTGGTGCGATATAAGCATGAAGGCCTACATTAGAAGCCTCAGCCCTCAGCCTGGCGTGCTTGTAGAATGAGAAAGCTATGATGGTGAGAGTCATTCAAAGGCCCCCACGGCGACCGGGCTTGTAGGGGCTTGGCTTTTTCGCGCCTGCGACAGGGGTGTTGCTCAGCACCGGGAGTATGAGTAGAACTTTTCTGTGCAACAAGTTCCTATGAGTGCAAGTACAACTGCACAGGAGTTCCATTGTTTTAAGGAACAAGTTATCAAACAAGTAGTATTGTCTGTGATGGCCAATAAGTGGAGTTTTGCTTGTTCAGCCCTCACTGAATCACTGCCCTCAAGGGCTGCATCGGCTGGTTGAGGTATATAATACAGAGTTAATTTTGTTTTATGTTGTGATTCAATAAGTATCAGTTGAATACTGTTCAATGTGTTTGCTGCGTGCCTTCATCATACACTACAGGAAGTATTTGAGATGCTGTTGTATACCGTATAAGTGGAGCAGTCCACTGGCACGAGCTCCGAGTAGTCACCAAGTCGTGGACTCACCGCGGTATGGTTGTGCTAGCTGGACTGTGGAGTGGATCCATAATGATCTATGTATATCTAAGTCTATATCCCAAACACTCCATGCATGGCATATTACACTGGGGATCACTGAGGTGGTTTCGTCAATACATGGAGTGTTTGGGTATGGTACTAGTATGGCCAAGAACTCCAGTGGTGGAAAACACGACGTGAACCACTACTCGACTTTGCTCCCTCAATCTCCCGTGTCCGAGATTCTGGTCTCAACCCGGTCTGTGGTCAACCGGAAGCCAACGAACTCCCACCCGCCACCACCACCGGAGTGGTTCCCATTCGCACATGCCTTGCCACCCGTGGGGACGCCCGCTTCATTGGCGATGGTCACCAGCTCGGCCAAGGTTTGATGGACGAGGGTTTCCAAGGAGTCGACGCGCCTGCGGGGGCCGAAGCTGAAAGCTTTGGGGAAGGCTAGGAGGCCCCCAAATGAAGTCCAGTATAGTCCAGTAAAAATGGTTTGTCCTGAATTTGAACATGTCGTTGAAACCTCGTGCCCAATCGTGTCTAGGTGTTGGACATTGTTTCCATCGATCTATAGCATCTTAAAAGGAAAGCATACCTATATTTGTAGCTCTGTGCGTCACTTATTGCCTGTTGACTAGCTGTTGTTGTGCTCGGGCTACCTGTACGCTAAAAAGTCTGGGTCTGTGCGGCGTGTGGGCACAGCGCTCGCAGCACTTGGTCGTGGCGCTCGCACTTTTGGACGCTAAATGCCGAGTCGTTCCCAAAGAGCTTTGATCTCCTAGAGAAGTCTCGCGAAGTCCCGTGAAGTCTCCACTCCCGTGTGTCTGGTGGCCATGGATTCATGAACAGCTGCATCCGGCTTCTCTTGAATGATTCCATTGAAGACTGTATAGTGAAGTTTCTACAGATAGAATATGGACTAATAAAAAAAAACTAATTAGTCCATATTCTATCTCCTGGATCGACATTTTGCCCGGGGGAACAGATAGAATATAAATTGATGGAAATCATAGCTTTTATGATGAGTTTTAGACTTAGCCAAACAACGATGACAATCAAAGCTCAAGCATGTGCATGCACAATGTGCATTCAGCAGGTTTAAGTAATGATTGTCAAGCAGGTTTTGCACATAGAATTTGGATTCAATCAAAGATAAACTATATGGTCTCTTGAAATTGAAGACAACATCATTTTTATGATGAATGTTGAACATACATCAACAACGATGGCAATCAAAGCTCAAGCATGTGCATGCACAATGTGC